ATTGAGAAATCGATGCACCGACTCGACTCCTGCGTTACGGCTTCGCTGCCGCGACGACACGGACGACGGTTTTTGTTTGTTCGTTACGTTTTGAGGGAAGAAATGGTACACGGTGGTGAGTTTACTGAGGATGAACGCGTTGAATAATAGTTACGTAATATTGAATTGTTTAATTGAATTGCGTTATTGTTGTTGCTGAATGTTACGGTATTAGGTAACATTATAATATACAAATGGTTTCAAAGAATCATCGTTTAATTGAGTGAAATGTAATTTAAATGTATAGATGAATAATGGAAACTAGTTTAAATAGAATTTAATTTACTTCAAGAAAAATTAATCGCGAGTAATTTAATGGATTTATTTAATTTAAATAAGACTGTATAGTATTTTAGGTAAACGTTTATATTTATAGTAATTTGGTTTGGTTAATCATCGGTGACCCCCATAACATTCTACGAGTTAATATTTGTGAATTAATATTAAGAGAATATTTTCGAAATATTTTCCGAATGGCTGGTGTTCTTGAACATTCTAGAAAGAGTACTAATAACTTTTGATCACGAAGCAGACTCATTATCAAGAAATCGAGGCTTTCAGACGACTCGGAAGTCTCCCTTTCGATCGCGACCGAAGATAATCAAAGATGTCGCCGAACGGAAGGTACGAAAACGCTGAAGAGGCGGTTCCGCGAATCTAAATTCCGTCTCCAGTACTCCGAATCTCTTTCTTTCCGCCGCGCCGGCCAGAAGAGGGTGGGAACATCCCCCGGAGGCTTTCCCGTTGGAAAAAGTCCTGTCCTAGCCCGCGTGAAGCACCATCGCTCGGAGTGTCCTCCTCTTCTGGATTTATCTTGTTCGAGCCGCTCGCGGAGAGCACGGAAACGTCGAGAACCACGTGTCCCCGCGTCGGATCTGCTTTCTTCCAGATTCCGGCTCGCCTGGACCTTCGTTCGTCCACTACGGTCAATTCCCTTCGATTTCGAAGTCGCCGGAAGCGCTTTCCGCGCGATCATTCGCGGCGGATCTTGGAAACCGACACAAAAGGGGATCTTTCTCGAGCTCGTTCGCGCAAGAAGCAGGTTTTTCAACGAGCAAGCGTGCGAACGGGCGACGTGTGCGCGGATTTTTACGAAGAGGAAACGAAGGAACCGGACGAAAATTGCTGGGAAAAAGAACGGAGGGGCCCCTGTTAATGCCTCGAGGTGGAATTCGCAAACCGCCCAGCTAGCAGCTGCTCTCTGCGTCCTCCTTCTTGCGTTACACCGGCTATTTTCTTTCTCTCTTTCCCTTCTGCTTGACCGTTGCTCTCGTGTTTCGCTGTTCGTCCCGCGTTAGTCCATTTCCGCGACTCGAAAATCCGCACGCCATGTTTCCGGCGTCTTCGGGATTATTCCCTCACAAAGGAGACAATGCAGCTGAAAAATAAACTGAAACTACCGGACGCGCACTGGTCGATACTTTAATGGTGCCGGTTCTGTCGTTTCACGAATCCTTTTATTCTTTGATTTCTTGTCCCTTTAATCTTAGGTTCTTGTAATTTGACTTGTGGATCCTTTTGTGTCACTGCAGAAGTGCGTAACGAGTGAATGAAGCGTTAGAATGAGTTATAGAAAGTTTATTTTTTGATTTCTGCGAGTCTAGGTAGATGGATAAGGGCTGGACTATATTCAGATTTGAATTCGTTGTAGTTTCGATTTATTTGATGCAATAGCAAGCGCACAGTCGAATAAGTGGAGCAGTGATTGCAGTGTTGCAGTATACTCCAAGGGGTCGAAGTTAATAGTGAAATCAAATTCAAACTTTCGAACAATTGTATATTTCAGAGAAGATACGAACAAGAGGTCGAACAATAGTCATCCACCCCGTTCCAATCATTCAAATGTTACGGACCAGCATAATCCTTTGTTTCCTATTCGGAGATCCTCTTTGAAAAGGCGTCGGGAACACGTATGTATATACAATTTCAGGTCAGTCGCTTTTAAGTTGCTTTTCGTAATCGACCCTCGAGATGGGCCAGAGGGGCGGGGTTTTCGAAACGGTCGATGATTAGGGTTGGCGTCAGTTTTTAGAGGCAGTTGTGCTGTCCTGTCACGGAGATTCCAAACGAGGGTCGACGTTTCACGCGCACCTCGAACCATCTAATCAAACCTGCCACGATCCGCTGACGCACAAACAATGCTCCCCGCTCTGTTATTAACGTTCCCTTTCTCGAGAGCAAGTGTTTCCGAATCGTACTCCGAATATTTATAATTAGAACAGGCACGTTCACGCTTACACATTCATTAATAGGGATGAAAATTGAATTCAGTTTTCTTTTTTATTCGTTTTTCTGTATTTCTTTATTTAATCTACCATCAATATACGAGATCGGCACGTTCTTGTGTGTATTATGTTAAATTATATTCAAATTCGTTTAAACTTCACATCTTGCAAGTTGGGATGCACTGCACCTGCATAATCGTCCGGGGTCAATTTATATTTTGTGTACTGGAATCTTGTGATAGCTATAAACAGTGTAGGTTAGAGGGAAAGTTCGTTGACAAAACTCGGTCGTTGCCCCTTATAAAGATTAATCGGGTGACGCCTTCTAAGAAAAAGGAATCCCGGCCACTACGAGCAGGTGTGGCTAATAAAAGGAGTTCGAAGGGAATCGCGACAGTACTAGGACCCTTTCAGCATCGTTCGGTTTTAGAGAAACTCAAAAAGGACTAATGAAATATTATAAGTGATTTTTTTACGTTTCGAATTCCAAGCAGATTTATTTTTCAGTATGATTGAAGAAAAAAAATTCATTGCGAACGAGTTTAATTGATTGAAGCAGGACATTTTTCAAAATTATATTAATTCGTTTGAAATTGTATTAGTGATTCCAATAATTTACACGTGTCAATTTAAAGATGGTACAAAAATGTACTACTCACGGAAATTACCAGTAGTCATAGTTAACACGAAATGATCAATGCAAAAATTTATTATTCATCATTATAAGCGGGGCACATAATTTCTTAGGACAATTTGAAAACTGTAGTTCTACGATTTGTTACATTGTTGTTCTTTAACGCAGCTACCCTTCTTGGTGTTCCTCACATATCCTTTATTACATCTGCAGCCGCCTGTGAAATTAGGTGTGCATTCCTGAAACAAATTCACCGTATAGTTACATAATTTCAAGGATTCAATTAATTCTCTGTAACACACTTTTGTTACTTACAATTGTCGGGCAGAAACGAGGATTCGGGCGGGGGACATCGCATGTCGGTCCGCACAATTCTCCGCATATGTTCCATGTTTCATTCTCGGGACATTTTTTCGAATTGGAGTCAGCTTCAAGGAAAACAATTGAATTTTATAGCAAGACAATTAACACGTATAGTCTTATGCATTTTCACACAATTTAGGCATATGCTATACTTTATACAGGACCAATATAATTTTCAAGTGACCGCGTATATTTCACGTATTTTTCTCATAAGAATATTTCTGTTACGTAAATATTTCATTTTCATTTAGTTATATTTGAAAAAGAAGCATTTATTTGCTATAAGATCTAAATTACAAATTTGTTTGAAATGGTCTCGAGATATTTACCTGCGACGTAGGCTACAGCTAACAGCAGCAGAACAATAGAGAAACGAGACATTTTGGTTTCGTTGGTTTGCTGAGTACCGGATACTTCGACTTCAACTTGGTGTTTGACACTGTTTCGTCGAAAGGTCTGGTCTTTTATACTGTGTAGTACTGTATATTACATTCAAAATGTACACTCATGTATCATTCTTATAGATAACACTATCTTCGGATGAAATATTAGAGACGTGAGCACTATGTTTCTCATTCTGCGACAATACTATGCAAATAATACTTGTTGAGGGATACTAAATAACGTAAGAAGAAATAGTGGTAGAAGGTTTTATCGTTTAACACGGTAATTAAACGCGAGCTGCCGCTTCGCTAATGTGTAGTCACTAACATAGCAATTCGCTACTATTGAATACTTAGCTACATACTTTTGTCTAACATCCATCCTCGTAGAGTTAAAAATACAACATTTCTAATATTTAATTGTCGGATCCTAACTTCTTCGGTTTTTCGTAGTAGGAAGGAGTAATTAAAAATAGAAACACTGTAGTGAGTGATAAGTTCTTGCTTCATCGAAGCACGATATACGTAAATTGTTCAAATTGAAATAAGTCTTCTAGTGAACAGCGCGTAAATGCGATACATCTATGATCAGTATTATAAATATTACTTTGAAAGTAATATCAGTATGACTCACTGCAGCATTGAATCGTCTGTGAGACACCATTGAATTAGTAATTATTGCACAAGTTACACTTTTATCCTTACCGCATTTTTACATTGAATTCAAACCAAGTATTTGACATTATTACAATAGATTACAATCTAACAATTTGACGCACTTATTCGTTGAGACATGTCTCACGTAAGTGTCGTTGCATCTACAATTGGCAGTTTCTGCTGTGCATTCCTGAAACAATTAATTTAATTGAAAAAATAGACAAGTATTTTAGAATGAGAAGCGTTTTGAATACTTACGAGTAACCACGGGCAAAGCAATGGGACTTGAACTGGCGTAATGCAAGTTGGTTCGCATATTCTTCCGCATGTTGCCCATGTTTGATTTTGAGGACAGTTATGTTGCACTACGGTCTCATTGGCAGCAGCTTTGATCAAACATCGAAGAATAATTATTGAATATTTCAACAGAACAATCCGAAAAAATTGGTTAAAATGTTTTAAGAATACTTACATGCATTGTGCATCACGGCCACCAGCATTAGCAAGACGACGAACAGGGACATTTTGTGATTCTTGATGGATACAGTGAATAGAACACTGAGTTCAACTTCGTATTTGATACCAAACCTTCCAATGTTCCCGAGTTTTATAGTCGCCGTTTCCCATACAAATATTCATTTCGTGCTCTCAGATAACACTATCTTTGAATAGATTAAAAAAATATGACACTTTCATTATTTACGGTGAAACCATGCAAATCATTTTGTCCTTCTTGAGTATTTTCCTTGTTTTTTTTTGCATTGTTGCTATATAGAACGCTGTGAAACACGGGTAAGAATTTATTGCTACCCAACGAATATGATTTACAGTGTCGAAATCATTTGAATGGTTTTAATTGCGGTATTATAAATTTTTTGGTGAATCTTTTTAGATCGGCGGATTTTTTCGATTTCTTGTGTGATATTATTGTGAGTTATTAGTTTTTGCATCATTTACGATGTAGAAGTTGTAATTTATAGAAATGAAAATGAGCAGTTCATTAATTAGTGAAGCATATATGAACGACCAGTTTATTTACGATCTTTAGTCAGAAAGTTCAGCACGAACGCTTGACTCACCGCATTAAATAACACGTGTTTGCAAAGAATTACATTTTTATCACAAATTTATTCCTTCATGTGTCAAACTTCATATATTGTATTTTCCCTATATCATATTAAACTATGGATTAAATGACATATTACTTGCCGCCAATGATTTGCAGGATTCACACACTGATTTGTATTACTTCACTTCTGACTTACGTCCGTAAATTAAAATCCTTGCATCGTCTACATCTCAGTTCTTTTGCGTTCGTAGGAAATGCATCTTTGTTGGATACTTGAGAATTAAAATTTATAGTCTTCACTTTTCAATGTAAATGATTGTTGCAGATATGGAATGTAGTAAAGTTGTCGAAAATTGTTTTTTTACTATTGAAAATTGCGTCGATATCACCGCACAGCGATAACTTATCGCGACTTGTTACTTCTAATAAAAATTACTGCGCAAGGGAAGAGTATTTTGTATAGTTTCGATAATTAGTGGACAAATTAGTGGACAAGTAACATAAGTGATGGAAATAGGCGGTCGCGCTGCATAGTGGCGACGGAACTTCCAATCGGGTCATGTCTTCTCGTTCTCTTTGCGTTGTGCTTGTCGCTCGACAAAAGTTTTCCAAGTGGAAGCACAGGAAAGTAGAAAGGTTTTCACATTACTTAATAGATATATTATTGGTACATTAAATTTCTAAGTGAATACAGAAATATATAATCATACGTTTGATCTGTGTTTCGGCTTCTTACACTTTTTGCAATATTTATGTAGGACACATTGTCCTTTTCCATTCCTAAGTAATCCTGGTTTGCACCGACAACCGGACCAATCGTTGCTACACAACTAGAACGAAAATCGAACATATTCTTCATGTACGCCAGTATTTCAAAGTCGAAAGTTCTATATATAAATACCTTCACTAAGCAGATTCCGCGTCTTCGACAGGTTTGCTCGCAAACTCTTCCACATTTGGCCCACACTTCGTTCACAGGGCAATTATGATCATCAAAATGATGAGAATGAAACGGCTCCAAATGATTTCCTTGAGAACTATCTTCTATTGCTTCTGTGGAATTCATCTTCTTAGGATTTTGTTCCTCAGAACCATGTTCCTCCAATTTAGTTTCTTTTGTAGTATCTTCTTCCTGATAATCGAAAGTGCTGTCTCCTTTTCTGTCTGCAGACTTCGTCTCTGATGTCACTGCTGTTCACGTGAAAAAAAATTACAATTCTATTCAATATCGCTGAATTCGCCAACGACGCTACTTCTCGTATCAATTTCAATATCTCAATATATTAGACAAAAAAACTGCCAGAACAGAAACACTCACACGAATCGACCATCAAAGAGATCAGCAACAAGAAGACGAAATATCGAGACATGATCGGGGTCCGGTTATATGTTCATCGATCCACTATTCCACTTTTGTTCGCGATATCGACTATATCCCGGGTTTTATAGCCGCCACAGGTGTTTGTACAACATAGCTCGGTCCGCGTTCTATTTCGGGCGAACCTTATCAGTGTATCGACTGCGCAAATAATCGACCCTTCATCGGAATACGGTATATTCCTATTGCCTTCGAATCCTAATCACTTCATCTCCAATTAAATTTCTACGAACAATACAATTCTTAAATCCAAGTTTAATTTAACACTAAACTCTCCCACGACCGATTTCTAAATTTGATTGAAAATTCTGCGTTTTGTTTCATCCATTTAACTATATCAATTCCCATACTGTCCGATTAATCAATTTTTCGTTGTTGCCTTTCCTTCTATTTCTATTTCCACAACGAAAAATATAACTCGCTAATTTTTCTTTTGTAATCCGCTATTCGGCTGGTTACTGTAGAAACAGATGTGTGCAAAGTGTGTGTTCGTTTAGTGTTGATCTCTCGTTCAAGTATCGAAGCGAAGTCCGAGAGATCTGCGTCGCAAGTGTTTCATCACGAGCGGCCGTGAAAAAGAGTTCCTCGCTTGAAGATAACGCATTCGCAATTAACGTCTTTGTCGAAAGAAGTCATCAGCGCGTGGTGTCATCGGAGCGAATAACCGTTCTTGCTTTATCGGCTAGAGAGAACCGCACGGAAAGCTTCGACGTCCGTCGCGATAAAAATTTTCTTCCAAGAATGTCCATTCTTCCCTCTACCGAGTTGCGCGTCTCGGTAGACTGTTCTTAGAAACGGTCACGCAGAAAAATCGCCGGAACACCAATTAAAAGGACGAGGTAGCGTCGGTGCCTCGGAGACCGGCTCGCCATCCGCGGATCAGTGAATTACTGCGCGCCGGAAGGGTTTGAAAACGCTCGGCAACTAGTCCTAACGACGGCGACGCGTCGCAAAACGAGCAAACCGATCGCGGCATCGATGACGACGTCCGTAAATCAATTTTACGGTGACGGACGGGATCGGCGATCGAGGAATACGAAGGATCGCCGCGAAATAAACCGGTCCGGACCGTTCCAGCGGCCCCGATCGGCCTCCTTCCGCCACGGGAACCGGCAGGGGGACGCGTCTTCGACTTTTGCATCGGTCGTCCGGTCGCCTTCGTTTCCTTTTTGCCTCGACTTTCTCCATTTTCTTTCTTTCTGCTTTCTCGAGCGGCGATCCTCGGTGCTTAATATAGGTTCCGCCTGGAATTCGCCGCAAGAAAGACGCTTCCGTTCCGGGGACGTTTAAATTCCACTCGAATATCACCCATGGTTTCATTAAGACCGATACACGCTGTGGGTCAGGTCTCGGTCTGCTCTCAAATAGATTAAATATTTCTCAGTTATTCATAATGCATTCGTTCGCACTGTGGCTGCAGCTTCATGTGTTCTGCCACTAGAAGTCGACGCAGATCTATGAGCCTTTCTCTACTGCTCTGTCCTCCACGCTTTGTATATATACCATTCGTAAACTTCCACATTCGTTCCAGCATCTAAGGCATGGGTCTTTTCCATACCTTCCTTCCATAACATTTCAGACTATTTTAACACTGAATTGCGGTTCAACCTCGGTCTATCATACTATCGAAAACAATGGACAAGGATAGAATTCGTATATCGAATTTGTATATTAAAACATTTTCCAGGGGGAAACTTTCTCCCTCTTTGCACCGTAACGCGGAAGAAGCATAACACGGCAGTGTCTGCTGAATAGGCAACCAGCTACTCCGCGCGTGTTACCTGTTATCGAAACAGCTGTCCCTAAGAACGAGTAAGATAAGGCATCTTCAAATAAAACAGCGCCAAAGGCTCGACCGAGTCGAGTGTAATGACTACTCCGCGCCTGTTAAGCATGGCAAAACGCGTCTATTAACGGCGTAACGCCTGCACCAACAAATCCTGTCCCGATATTCATCGATCGCTCTCGATCATCGGGATCTCCCGTTAATTCTCGCCGCTCGGATGACAAAATCCGGTCTTCCAGCGCGTAGGTAAGAAACGCGAGACTCTGCGCACCGGCTGAAAGAATTTCCGGGACAATTTATGGGACACGCAGCTCGTTTGCAAGGCAGCTCGGCGAGACAGGCGAGGCGCGAACGCGCCGCGAGCTGTCGGCCCGCGTGACAAATGGATCGAAATTGCCAATTATGCCGCGGCCCGATAAAAGGCGGGCGGGGACGCGTTCTCCGAAACGGAGCGTGAAGAATGGGCCGAATCGCGCGCGTGCGCGCGCGGCCGGGCCCGCGTAATTCACGATCGACGCTTGCTGCGCACGCAACCGGGCCCGGTCGAGCGTGTGCGTCTAGATTCCCGGACGGGTCGCGCGCGAGATATCGTTCACGCGCGATCGGTCCCGAGGAAACGTTCCGCTCGTAGGCGATCCGTGGCCAGCTCGAGCGTGAAAAGTAAATCAACGCCGCGCCGTTGTTCCCTGCCCTAACGGCGCGTTGTTATTACCATTAGCCGCGTGTATCGGTCCCCGTGTCGCGTTCTGCTTTGCAGTTTTTTCTCGACGGCACTCCTTCACGCACGATATACCGCGCGCGCTTAGCCGCGGCCACGGTTTCTTACTGGGCTGGAGCGTTAACACGTTACAACCTTATGTCACTGATTTTTTTCGTTACCGGAGTAGATGGAGGAGATTGTTAATCGTTTGGTATAACAGCTCTCGCGTTACAGTTTTATTTGGTTACGCTGTTAAACAGTTTCATTCGACATCGATTGGATTGCGTGTTGTAATCATTTTCGCGCGGTACAAAAGTGTTGGTCGTTTTTGGAGATCTGTTTATTGTGAACTGTGCGAATGCACTTTTTTCTGAGAACAATAGAGTGTATGATGAATGTAAATCCAAGAAGAACTGGATTTACTGTGTTCAGGTAACATGACGCTGATGCAGGTTTCATAAAACGTAGCAATTGATACATGCCCCGCAATATGTTTCTTCGTGTGTGGGGTCCTTTACGTCGCTTGAATCTCGGCGTTTCCTGCGTAGGACGCGCCGCAATCGCGAAATATATCATGCCGCTTACGGTTTCTTTCGTGTATCCCCCATTCCCTCGCTTTGAGCGGGAACTGCCGGGTTTATCGAACGGGGAGAGCGGAATTGCTCAATTTCCCGCGATATGACACGAGCAACGGTGCTTTTTGGTGACTAACATTTAGTAAATCATCGGGATTACAGCGGCTGTTATCGTTCACTGCGGATCTTCCTTCGAACACAAATTCCGCATTGTTCTGCGACAATAAATATCCAGGAACTAATTTCTTGCGTTCAGAGTCCCAAGAACTCGAAACTAAAACGAACTATTCCGTTTCCTATATTTTACGTTTGTTAACAGGTTGATCGCCGCGCGGGTCATTTAATTTTCTCTAAGCAGGAATACCACATTCTTCTTTAATTATGTATCTTGTAATTGGACTCATGTTTTATTTAGCAGCGCGCGCTCTACGATACACACGTCCTCTTGTTGATCATTAGTTTTCGTGGTCGTAAAGATTACGAGACCTTGTAACAACTCGTGAGGAGGTTTTCAGCAAAAACTGGACACTCGTGACTCTTGTTGATTAGTAACAAATTATTTTTAGTACTTGCCGTGTTATTATAATTTTATATTACGAACCACTTACCTCTACACTCCAATAAAATATAATAAAGAGGAAAAGAAACTGTAATTACGAATATCTCAACATTCTCCTTTCCCTTGTACGATGCAAATCGGTTAACTCGTTTATAATGAAAGAGAGTAACGAGGGTAACAAAAGCTGGCGATTCTCGAGAGTTCAGCTGAATTGAATTATACTAATCAAACTTTCCTTTCTGTTACAGGTGAGTCTGCCAAGCAATTTCCATAATTCGCGTGGAAATGGCGGGCACAGCGATATCGGCCCGGGGAAAAACAATGTCCCGAAGTTTGGTAACGTTCTGCCAGTGCCAAGGTAGGAACTCCCGAGCCGTGACTTTTATCGGAAACACCATTCCCGTTCGCCTTAACGCCCCGTTGGGAGAGGGAGCCGTGATTTATACGAGGTTGATCGGCCGACCTAAGCCTCTCTCGTTAGAATCGATTGCGTGGGGGTGGACCGGGCCGCTCGGTCCTTGGTCACGTCCCCCTGGAATTAGGTCGTCTCGACGTTTCGATCGGATTCCGGGAAACAATTCAGTGCGTCGGAACTTTCTCGCGGACAAATTTGACACGAGGAAATCTCTCCCGAAAAATGATTTAGGGTTCAGAATACCTAACATTAGGACAAACTAAATGCATCAAAATTACCCGCGTCACGTATTTTCTTTCGCAATTATTAAAAGGACACGTCGTCACAAGGAATCACTAAACAAATAAACGCGCTGTTATAATTTCAGATAAAATAAGTCGACAGCTCAGTTCTAGCGTTAAGGATATCCCTTAGAAAAATCATTCATTTAGCGAGAAGCAAAGATTCCCTTCGTAAATCCTCGTTTCGATATCAAGCCAGACTGACGATAATTCAAATATCTCCAAACAGATTCGATCAATTCAAACCTCACTCACTAAACTCTCATAATCGTCCTTGCTCCAGCACAGAATCTTCTCGTCGTTCACGAAGCACAGCTAACTCAACCCTTCTAGAAAGAGTCACAAAAGTAATCAAGTCGATAAGTTAAATTTAGAAGCATAAAGAACCAGGGTGGGCCCGTTCGAGAAAGAAAATGAGAAGAACGACCAGTGGCGATCGTTAAGCATTCCGTCGCGCAGGAATTGCCTCGTTAGTGGGAAGGTTCGCGCGCGAGTCCACAGGACAGGAATAGTAATAATAATACGCAAAGCGTCCGACGAACGATCGACGTGTACCGTCTCCGTAACGACGGCCGGGGCCGGCCGGCGAGTCACGAACGCGAATCAACAATTTATTGTCGCCGGTATGAGGATCGATACCGGCGCAGGCACATTCCCACGTTGATACTGAAATCTATCCCGTCCCGTTGTCTCCTCGGTTCCCCGTCCGCGCGTCTTGACTGCCAGTCGGCTGTAAAGAACGTTCGATGCATACGCGGTGCGGCGCGGCACGGCGCGCAGCGATTGCAGGGGACGCAGCGGCAACGACCGGCTTCAAGGTAGCAAAGCCACTCAGTCGACGGGGATTATGTAAGGCTGTTTCGAGGCCTGCTCCAGCCTTCTTCAGCCCCGGCCGCCACGACTCCGAGCGCACGTTTCTCCGCTTCTTTCAGCCTCGTCCCCCATCCTTCGTCGTTCCGTTTCGAAACCGATGGCTACTATAAACGGACCAAAAGTTTAGTTAACCATCGCGCCGCGGACACGAACGCCGTGTCGGTTTTCATGCGGCATTTCTTCTCGCCGCATGGGAAACTTAGCCTCCACGGGCAATTTCGCTCTTGGCATTCCTTTGTGCTTTGGCTTTCTTTGGCCCGCTGAATTATCGAGGCGGATTTATGATTATTAAGGCTCGTTTCATTTGGTTTGGGTAGCGAGGTCTTTGAAGCTGCGGCTGTACGTTTGATTTATACAATCCCATCTTCGGTTGGTCGTTGATTGCAACGATGCAGTGTTACCGAGTGTCCGTGAGCTGATTATGGTTTTTGGCTTTGATCTGAGGTCCTTGGGATTTTATCAATTTTCGCTGGATTCGAATCGATTTTTGTGTTTGTTTAGGTGATCGAGTGCCGATATCAGATGTCTGATAAGATATTCTGTGGATCAAGCTTGCAACATTTGATGTATAGAACTGATAAGTTCATGAATCAAATTTAATTGGTAACAGATTTGGCCCGAAATGGCGAGAATCAAAGTATTCAAGTTGGAAGCTTTATATCTTTGATCTAGAATATTTTCATGGAAAACACGTTGCACGTATATATACGTTGAATATTCAGACCAAATCAATTTTCAAAAACCAATTTCACACGTCTATCGCGTTCCAGGTTCCTCACAGGAGGCTCTTTGCATTTGCCGCGATAAAATCTCCGCAGACGCGTATTCCGTTCCGAATGGAACTGTCTGGTGAAGTATACAAAGATCGATGAGAGATTCGGATCGTCTTGTGTCGCTCCGATCGAAGAAGCTGTCTGAACCAGCGAAATCGACTTCCTTTTATCGAGGTATTGTTGCGCGCTGACCCCATTTTGAAATTCGCCGAACGATTCAACGCCCGCCGGAAGAAGCGTGGATTCGAGTTGCTCTCCCGTGTGTGGGAGTCACGCTCTCGAGCTTTCATTTAGAATTCTCTTCGTGGAAGTTGCTGCGGTGAGAATGAAGTCCGGTTTTGTAGAATGCTGATTGGTATCTGTGCACGAGTTTGTAGTAGAACTCGTTTCCTGTGACCCCGTGCGAAGCGTATCGCATTTTGTGTCGCGATTAGTTGAAGTATATTGCTTCGGACGCTTGATATATAAGGGATAGAAGTCAGTTGCAGTAGAAAGTAATTGGTTTTGCCACTAGATCACATTTATTTCTTAAGAACCCGCCTTACAGTTATCTCCAATTCAAATCTGAATGAGGATAATAATGTCTTCTTAGATTCTACGTTAAGGCGTACTAAATGATGCATCTTTTTTTTTTAAGGAATCTATTTCATTTTGGATTTCTTGTGATTCATGGCTGCAATTTCTTCTAGAAACTGAATTAGTGACTGTTAATCTTCACTTTTTACATTTAGTGAGCTGAATACAGGCTTTCTGCTCGTTCCTCACGTAACCCTCTTTGCATCTGCAGGCTGCCTTTAGAGGACTGCATGTCTGCAACGAAGGTTTCATTTCTTTACATTATCTTCCATACAAGATATTGAAAGAATATATAATTACTAATATTAAATTTACATTATTACTTTTATTCTTCATCTTCTATGATTCAATTTCACGTACTTAAATTGTATATTAAGTCCCATTTATCGATACTCACAAGCTCGGGACAGGTTTCCTCAGTGGGTATTGGAACTTTGCAAGTCGGCTCGCACCTTCTTCCGCACCACGACCACACTTCATTCTTAGAGCACTCCTTCGAATTCTTCGCATCCTTGGTCGCTATTTATTTAGCAACGTTAAATTCATCAAACGAAAGATCTTAAAAGACAATTGAAACTTACAAACAGCAGCGAGGAGGAAAATGCAAAGCGCCAGGACAACGACGCGGCGAAACATAGCGAATTTTCTGATTTCTGCCGCTGTTATTGACTTCGGGAAACGATGACAGCGAACATTCCCGCGACACGGTTTTATACTCGCGTCTTTATGCAAATGGTCGCCGCGGCGTGCGCTCGCTTGCCGAGATAGCTATCGTAGAATCTTCTCTCGCGCGAAATGATTAATGCAAAAGCTGTGCAAACAGCTCGTGGAAAGTTTTTCGTGAATTATGGAACAGTGTGCCAATAATCTGTCACGTTCTAACATTCATTTTATATTGCCAATAATCGAATAGGATAAAGTACTTGAGAACAATTTATATTATTTTTGATGGACAAATCGATGAACGTCGATGGTACTTCTATTGACGATTCTTGCAATTCTCGAGCTCGATGCATACATTATTCTCGTCTCGAACTAAACCTGGGCAGCACCTGCAGTCGCCAGTTTTGTCCGTGCACGTCTGAAACAAATTCGCAGCCGCGTCGTGGGAACGGTTTAAACAGACAATGGTTAAAGTTTAATTAAAATTTCAAGAGTTCCGGAAGCTCGCTTAGTCTCGAGCACGGTAATCCCTCTTTCGTAGACTTACGAAATTCGGGCACACCGTCCAGCCAGGTTGGAGGATACCGCAAGTAGGCTCGCAAACGTGGCCGCACCACGACCATACTTCGTTCTTCGGGCATTCCTTCGGGGGTTTGGGTGTGGTGTGTTTCTTGGCTGTAATAATTATCCAATTTAATTGAATCGTTCTCATTTTGAGCATTTTCGTTGATACACTCGAGAAAATTGAATGTTTGGATCACACAAAATTAAGATATAGGAAGTGAAAGATGCAATTAAGCATTAATGAGATAAGAAATTGTGTAATATAATTAGCAAAGACTCACCGATGACGACGATAGCTGTAATCAGCATCAAAATTAAAGTATTTCGAAACATGATGAATTTTCTCAATTCCCATGCACAGTGCGAATAGACTCAGCCTGTATCGTGAGAAATTTTTGCCTCCTCGGTATTTATACTTCTGGTTTTCGCGGAAATGGCTACGATATCTGTTTCTTCGCTCGCGATATCGTTCGTTTCCAGATAATTCGAATGATTAATGCGAAAGCTGTGCAAATGATTTTAAGGAAATTAGCATTCCTTGTGAAAGAGCACTTGAACGTTCATTTTTCTTCTGTTAACACGGTTTATCTGTCTGCGTCGACGGTTATGTAAGTTGCTTAATGATTTCTAGCCCCGAGGCATTATACTATTGAAACTACTCTTCTGAACCAGAATGCTTAGATCAGCCTTAAAAATTTGATTCAATTCGAAGGAATACGTGTTTTAGCCCTGGTAATTGCTAATAATATTTGCACGTAAGTTCTATTTGATGAGCCTTGAAAGGGTAAACAACGGCAATGATGTAACGCTGGATCTAAAGGATTGGGATGGTTTCAATCGCTGCGATCGGGAATGAAGAACAGCCAACGGTTTTATGCTTCTATAAACTATTTATTCGCCTTAAGTATATTATATAGGTTCATGCGTGTAATGAGAGGAGGAAGTAACCATTGTGCATTGCTGCTTAACGATCACTTGCGCCGGCATGTTTTGCATTCGTTGGGCTTGACGCAGCGTTTTCCTGCTCTAACGTAATTTGGTTTGCAACGGCACGCGGCGGTGGAATTAGTACACGCCTGCAACAAAGGCAATGATACCATGAAAACGAAATTTCGAAGTAGGTCTAGATAGATGCTGTAAAATTAGCTACGCCTTATCGAGTACTCACGATACGCGGACAGTTCGTTGGATTCGGCTGTTGGCAGGTCGGCTCGCATAGTTTTCCACAAAGCGTCCATTCTTCGTTCCGCGGACACCTCCGAATTTCCTCCGAGCTGTTACTGTCGTCACTATCGTGACTAGCCCTACTGTCGTCACTATCGTGACTACCCCTACTGTGATTCTCTCCACTGTGCTTCTCTCCACTGTGTTTCTCTCCACTGTGCTTCTCCCTACTGCGATCCTCACTACTGCGACTGTCGTGGTCGTGTGCAACTGGAATGAAAGTGTTAAGAATATAACGTTTTGGCAAGTGCTTATTCTTTATATCGAATCTGAGTTTCTTCGTATTAAAGAAATGAAGTTGAAAAATACACTGGCTTATCATAAAATAATCATTGAAAACATCACGATATAGTTTGAACTAGTTCGTAGGTATAGCTTTGAATGTTTACTACAGTAATTTACAATTTTATAGAGATGTGAGATAACGAAATTCTCAGGTTTTTAAACTTTTATCTTTCATACCAAACTTAAACCAAGGTTCATCGAACACGTTCAAAGATGAAACAAAATTACTTACTAGCTACAGCAGCGACCACACAGAAAAGTAGAACAGTAAAAATGTAGCGAGACATAGTCGATCCTTCGTTCTATCACAGCTCGTTTCGAATCTGCTTTCTTTTATAATATGAAATCTATCCAAGGTATCCTTCTTTTTATACTTTCCATGTTGATCCAATATTTGTACGCTCGCTTGTCTTTTCTTTCCGGAGATAAGGTCCGACAGCTTTACACAAGTTATTGTTTGCCAGGATTACCGATCTCTGTGTCGCACGTGCCGTTTTTTGGAATACATAGATTTCGAGAGGAAATTTACCTGGCCGGATTCACATGAAACGGTAATATTTTTGCGTCAGCGTGCAGCCGACAGCGGGTAACCACTAATTAACGGGACACTGGGGAAACTGGTTTCAGTCGCAGGGAAGATTTCGCGACGAAATTTGCGTTCGACCGGTCGGTGCCGCGGTACTTGCTGAGATATCGCTAGTTAACGGAGGCCAGAAATGAAGCGATCCTGTTCTTAAGAGAGGAACGGTGACGGTGTGGGACCTCGAAGGGCGATTTCTCGATTCCCCCTTCACCCGAGGTCTTCATTTGTCTCTGGTCGTTAGCTGTCGCCTTCCACGGGCGAACTTTCGATCGAATGTCGTCGAACTTTCCTGCCGCGAACTCGAGGAACACGAGGAACCCCGGTCCCGCGACGGACATTTAAATGCAAATACACTTTTTACTTATATTTATATGCAAATACGGTTGTTCGCCGACGGTAGACGGGGAACGGGGTCGGAAAGGGAGAAGGGAGAGGGTGAACAGAGACACACGGGTCGGCCGGCGACGCGACGCGAATGAAAACGACGCGTTCGAGAGGCGAGAATGGGGCGACCGGCCGCACGCGATGCGTCGCCATTGCCGCATCTCGCGTGCTTCCTCGGTTTCGATTACTCGAGATGCGATTCGCCATCGCTACCTGCGTTAGAAATCACCTTCGAGATCGGAATTACAAAATATTCGTTCCCCTCTGGGACTTGGGAAGGAAGTCTACGTCTTCAGGATGTTAGATAATTTACTTTCTTCGATTCATAACGTACTGTTTTTGCAGATTATATTAAATTCTGTGTATAATTTTTATAGAATATTCTTATCAAGAGGATTAATGACCTTTGTAAGAATATCTGGTTTCCAAAATACCAAATCTTCAGAGTATCAAATCTCCAAAATAGTAAATCTCCAAAATCCATAATTTACAACATGCCCAATCTTAAAGGTACCTAACCTCGAAGATACTTAAACCCCGTAGTATCTAAGTTTCAAAGTACTTAATCCCCAAAGTATCTAATATCTAACAGATGTTAACGTAGATCGAATGCAGCATTACAAAAAACTAGAATAAATCGCAGGTGGTCCCGAAAAAAGTCGAGCAGCCAGCTTTCTGGTAAGCAGCTCGCAGCTCGCAGCTCACTAGATTCGTTCGCCGTGGGGTGAACAATACGCTGCTCAGTTACGCGGCGACGTTTCTTTTTCAGCGGCGAGATTGCACGGGTGCTCGCCTTATCGTTCCCGTGGTGGCATGGGGGATTTCATTCGAAGACAGTGCATCCTCTTTCCTCGCCGCATAACGACACGCTCGATCACGACTCGCGTATATATATAGTCCGCTTATGTATCGTTATCGGCCATCTGTAGCTCTCCCTCCGCGGACGATCCTCGTCAAGGGAGTATCGGAAAGCCGGATCGGAGCGGGCCTTGATCGTCTCTCCATATACTTTATCGTTTCTTCGATTCGTCGGGAGAAGAAGCGCTTCTATCCTTCCCCGACGTATCGAATCCTACGTATAGAATGAATAGACGCAAGAAGCATCTGCTACCATCCTCTTATATTAAACCTAACGACCGATCCTCAGGAGCTGATGCCGGATTATATGATTCACTTTTATTACCGGCAAATGAACATCTTATTTTCTTATTCAAACGACCCGAATGTCTTCGGCTACGGCGAATTATAATTCCAGCGCTAAATTTAGTATCAACCTGCCACTTGGAAATGCATCTTTTATCCCTGCACCGAGCGTATACCTCTACGCAGATCCTCATTTCTGCCAATCTTTGAAAACGAAATCTTCAATTGAAACGCATTCCTTTCGTCGGTGGTTCAATGGGAATTAATTTAAAACGTTTCAACTCTGATCCGATAGTTCCGACGTTCAAAATTTCATGGACCATTCCGTATTGTACCTCCGTACCTGTAACAATCGCATCGAATTCGCGTCTTCATCGTCGGCCCAGAAATATGAATTCCACGACTGCAATATAACTTAACCACCGAGCTTGTCTCGAAGATCTAGATATCGAGGCTCGATCGATCTTCGAGATGGTCACGGCATCGACGTCGGGACATTTAAAATGTAGATGCGATCGGTCGAACACCTCGCCGATTTAATCGTTTCCACGAGCGGCGCGGCGCTTCGCGTGTGTTGCTCCCCCTCTTTTTTTTCTCTCCGCCATTATCTCGACAAGGGCTCTCTCTCGCTGAAACCGAAGACAGAGAAACGCGGTGAAGGGTAGAAGGAGTGCGGGAGAGTGCAGCCGATCTGTAATCCGAAAGTTGTCAGCCGCACATCGCGCTGCCCTAATGGAATTTGAATGTCGTTAGCCGAAGTAACCGGGCGTGAGGAAGGGACCTTATCCCTATTACCTCGTCGCCGGGGTACGCTCTCGCCGCCGCAGGTATCGCCCTTGAGGACGGAGCCTTAGCCGAGACCCGGCTCCGGTTTATTGGAGCGCGAAAATGTGTCGGGTTCGACGATCGTTTTCTTTCGTCGCGCTTAGAGTCGCCTCGTTTGATCCCGTCGACTCCTGTTCCACCGTGGTTATCCTAATTCTCTAGATCAGGGATTCCGCCTGATGATCGACACATTGGAATATCTTACCTGCAGACAGATTCTCTCTTATTCGTTCGAGATCCAGAACTTTTCCTGTGGAAGTATTGACAAAAAGAGTTTGCTGGAGAAAGTGAATTTTTCAACTAGGTTTGGATCCTATCTTGCTCGAGACTTCAGATGTTTGGTTTACTGAATTCTAGTTTTCTATTACAATTCTTCTGGTTCTTGAAAGATGGAGATGTTCGTATATGAATCGGGTATTTGAGACGGTATACACATCATTTTTGGTATATAAATTGTTTTATGTATTATATAATTTAGTTGTAATCTACACTATCCGTTAGTATTGATTCTTGAAGTTGGCAAGCTCTAGGTAGCTCATTGCATCCAGTGTTATAAAACGCTGACGTGAACTTATATCCGGATATTCGAAGGCTAGTGTCTTGTTTGAAGTGTCCTTGTTTCAACCGGAATCGTCGGAAATAGTCGCGAATGGAGGTTCGATTCGACGAGTCGTAAAACATGGCGTAAGTCCAGCTGGAGGACTTCAAGAAGCTCCTCAGGGGGAGGCTTCCACAGTACGTCAGTGCATCAGCAGGTTTTGTCTTTTTACATCATCTTCTCGCCGAGGCTTGTCTCCAATTCTCTATCCCCAGCCTTAGGTCAGTTCTACAGAATGTACCATTACAAACACTCCAACCTTTAGTACAAGTCTATTAGGGACAACCAGACAATTCACTTCTGAAACTTAACTATAAAGGTTTGTAAAAATAATCGCCACGCGTAACGTGTACAGCAAATACGCCGGTACATTCAGA